ACGTTCATTTGTATTCACTGAGATTTTGCCCAAGCGAAAACTCAGGCCAGACCCAGCTGGGAGGTGCAGAGCCGCAGGCTCGCTGCGGGGCTACGCGCCGTTTTCCTTGATTTGGCGGCCACGCCACGGGCCCCGTGACGGTATAATATCCCCAGCTCTTCGCTCCCTCTTTGCACAGCCCTCCACGTCTCCTTTCTCTGACGACCTTGAGCTTTTGCCCTCAGATCATTTATTTTTTGCCCGCTTGCCATCCTAAAACTTCACGGTCTGAGTCAACAGCGCAAGGCTCCCCTAGGAGCCCTTCAGAGCAGCCGCTCGAAAATAACAGCTTCCCTGCATGATGCTCCAAGCACTCAAAATACCTCCTCTTGCCGGGGACACGTCCATCCGTCAGTAAGATGGTCAGCTCACAGCTCTCACTACTCTCTCGGTAGCTATTAGTCCTGTTGCTGCCGGGAGCATTTCAAAGCAATATCCCTTCCCTCCCAAATAACTTTGATATTCTACAATTGGTAGCTTGTTTCCTTTTAGTTTGAGAAAAAAACACTTTGGGGATGTGAACCTCTAGTGAACGTACTTTACAGCTTCCCACCCTGCGCCTTCTCCAGGGAATACAAACCTCGGACGGCCGCGGGCGCAGAGGCCTGGCTCTCGCTGGGATGTGGCTGTCCATTCCTCTTTTGTGGCCAATGTAAGAACACAAGAAAATACATTTACAGGAACTACGCTTTCAGAAATAATCTGATTTATGTGTACTTCAAATGGGACGCTTCAAAGGTGGCTTGACCTTGACGTGCTGAACATCTTCCCCCAGCGAATATTAGGCCTCTTTAAAGATAACTCAAACCTGACTTTCTGAATGAGCGACTCTAAATTGCTTCTTTTGTAAAAGCTATCGCTATCTGGTCTGCAAACAGGACTGAAAGCTTTCAGTGGTAAACCTAGTAAACACGAGCATTTCATGCTGGCTTTACGGCTGGTATTACCATAGCGAGCGCTCAGTTCAATAAAAGACAACACATCCTGTTTATCTTCCTGCTTGATTATTTCTAGATTATAATCTTCCCCTTGCAAAACTGTCAGACTGAACATTCAAACAAAGATAATCTTGAGTGCCCGTCTTGCTCAATGTCACCGGGGACTCGTAAAGCGAGAACGTTACAGGACTGGAAAATTCCTGAAATGTTATTCAGTGTTTTAACTAGGAAAATAACATCAATTCTGAAAGTACCAACTAATCAGCTTCACAAAGCCCAGGACCAGGACCACCGTAAGGTTTTACTTTTAAGAGAGTCCCACTAATTCAAAACTCTGGATTGCCATAAAGAAAGAGATAAAGCCATGAAAATAGAAATCATTCTTAGAGCTAGCTGGAATATTTCTACTAAAATGAAGTTTAACTTCACAGAAAGATCAGTTTCCGCTACGGTTTTGTTATGCAGGATTGTATGTTCTAGACCACTTAATTCAGATATACGAGAAAGAGAGACCCGAGATAAGGAGAGAGCTCATATTCAAATTCCCACTCTAAAAATAGCTGCTTCTGCACAGTTGTGTTTTGTGACAGAAAAAATCAACTCAGAAGCTTCAACAGCCGTCCAAAATGGACCTGTTGCTCTCTTCTGCATTAATAAATAGGCATGCCCTGTATATTCTCAGACAAACACCAAAATCACTTGATTAGAGAGCCTGGCCTTGCTTCCTCACAATTAACAACCAGGCATGGCCATCTTCTGGGAATCCAGCAGAGCAAAAAGCGATTACAGAGGTTGGGTACCCTGAAGCGAGCATTTTAAGACTTACTCTGGGGTCACCCACCATCTTATTTCTTGTGAACCAAGTCCCTTTGAACAAAGGAGGCCAAAGCTACCACCTATCGCTCAGCCCAAACACCAGTAGCTCCTCCACCCTCTGGCCAGCATTTGAAGGGTGAGAGATTAAAGGCCAAATCCAAAAGCTTTGACACTATTGAATAGACTTACAAACCAATTCACCGTGTCGAAACGGTGCTGGGCACTAAGCTTCTCCCATACTCACGGCAAAGACACCGCGCATGGACGTGCCATACAGTTCTTGCTGCTTGCTGGGAAGTGCTTAGCACAGCGTTTCTTGCCCTACAAACTCTCCAGCTGAGAAACAGAGAGGACACATCCACACAAACTTGGTTTCAGCTTCCTGTCAAGAGAAAACCGTCAGTACGGTCAAATTACGCGAAACCATTTGCAGAGCAAGCTGCAGAACATAGCTCCGAAATGGGCACGAAAGAGAACGGAAAAACAAAACTAAGGTCACAAAAATACAGCGTACCTATTCTATTTTTAGATTTAAACAGTAAAATATATCTTGCTACGTGGTCACTTAAGAACCAGAACGTTACATGATCCCAGTTCACCACTGTGGGCGGCTTTCTCAGACTAACCCATATGTTTACACAAAAGCCAAGACACCTTGTTACTAGCCTTTATCCGTAAATTCATGCGGCCAAAGGACAACTTGCACCACATTCAGGCACACCTGAAGGCTTTGCTCTCCTACAGGCAAACTCAGAGCAGGCTCCTTTAATAACCGTCACAAATCCATCACAGGAGCTGGACAGCTTCGTCACTGAAATCCATACGGAGAAGAACTGCTGACCGCCAAAGTCTACAACTCCAGGCAACAAAAAGAGGTGAGATGTGTTAGCTTTGCTCAATGATTCAACACTGGCTAATCCCCACGCACGCCTTGCTGCGACATCCAGCTTTACACAGCAACCGCAAGCCTTTGGGATGACGCTGCAAGGCAGAAGCTCCATTTTGCTCAGGCGAAAGGAAAAGGAGCTGGAAGGAAGGTCAGGCATCTCCTCAGGGGAAAATGAAGGTAGTAGCACCACAAGTGACAACTCTGTGTGTCTTCAGTTTCCCACCTGAAGCATCCTGGATAAGTAAAATGTTCTTAGAGCTTGAAGGGTTACTGGCATTTTTAACCACCTAACATTTTTGAGCTGGAGGTGCTCACCATCTACATCTTACATCACAGTCTACATCTTACAGTTTTGAACCTTCAGTAATTAGAAGTTGCCTCAGGGAGCTAAAAGGCATGTGCCTTTGGGCGGCTTGGCTGGGGCATGGGAGAGCTGGAATTTGGATACTTACAAAACAACCACTTTTTAATTTCAAATATGTGTAACCGGTGAAACATCCAAGCCAGGTAATATAAACCCAAATCTTTTTGGCAGCTCAGACAGAGCAGCAAGTATCAGCTTCTCAGCAGACCTTTGATTTCAAATCACTGTGATTAGTCTGCTGTAATTTCAACCAGGACTGTACTGGTATTTTGCAAGCACAGTTTAAAAATGCAAGTACAGTTTCAAATCAATGAGAGTTTAAAAGCTGAGGACTAAATTCCTCTCCCGGTTACATCAGCATAGACTTAGTACAGATGATGAGAATGAGGCTCAGGGGCACTAACCCTAAAACAGGAGGCACGGATATTGCAGAACAGGGCACAACCAGGCAGCAGTGTTTTCCCTCACTCTCTTCAGTATTTACAGTTCTCTTTTGCTGGTTCTCAGCAAGTTAGTATTTCATTTTAAAAAGTGACATTGGGGAAAATGCTCTTCTCCGACCCACTCTACAAGGCTGGTTCACCATGGAATTTCCTGTAACATATCCTATACTTTACCTTGCTCGACAGGGATCAGCCAAATGCCTCACTCGGGGAGACCCTCCGTGGGGACTTACAGGGGAACTCTGCTGGACCTCTAGTTACGCAGGTTACTCTAGGCTGCTGCCACTAGTTATAAATAAGCAATTTCCAGCGGATCACATTCACTGAATCACCCCTGCACTTCCCCCACAACACACGTGTGTTCCCCCTACGCACATTAGATGGGGTAAGGCACATCACAGCCCTGCGGAAACGCTGCCCATGGGCGCTGCTGGAAAAACCAACGACGCGCCATGGAAGTTAGTGCCTGAGTTTGGCCCTTTGAGCTGAATAGATGAACGTTATCATGGCGTACTGCATGTTTTGCTGGGCATCTGAAGGCCTCAGCATTAGGTCCACATAGTAGCAAGCGGTGAGCAAGGCTTGGCCTACGGTACCTACGCTCTAACTGGGAATGGGGTGCAACGGATTAAAAAAGGGAAAAGAAGTGACGAACGGGAAGGCGGAATGAGAGCAACAGCAATGAGTGACATGGTCACATGCCAGCATCATTTCCACTTATGCCAAACCCTCACAAATGCCTCTTAAAACACTTAAAAACAGCTGATCCCAAGGACTGGGCCATGCCTATCATTAATTTAGGAATAGCAACCCACGTGTTTCGGACATAAAAATCTGGCAGTTATTCACAGAGTGGCTAACAGAGCCCAATCCTCTGCTCCCTGCCCTCCCTAGAAATCTCCAAGGCTGCAAGTGTTTTGAGCCTGATTGCTCTCTTATCTTGGAGCTGCATACTTCCTGATAAGGAGGAAGAGTAGTAGGTACTCACTGCTGTTCAGCTGACTATGGAGGAAGTCAGCAAGTGAACAGCTTACCAGGCTGCTTATTTCAGGGAGGGATTTATTTCTTTAATTCTCCTTGAGGCATTTTTTGTAAAGGAAAAGCTTTTTGAAGCAGCTGTACATCCTCTAAGCCTCCGCACCAGAGACCCGAAAGGTTTTTTCCAAATCAGAAACGGCAGAACTACAAAACTCAACAAGTCATCCTGAATTTGAGGAGGGTGATGTAACCTTTTGGAACAGCATGCCTTTTGGTGTGGGCTGGTACATTTTTCAGCCATCTTGGTGAAGGATATTTTCACAGACTCAATCCTCCCTTTTGCAAATCATCAATAACTCTATTTACATAGTTTGAAATTAATGTGCTAATTCCAGAATAAAGGTAGCTTTGCATGGCAACAAGTCCACTCACCCTCTGACTCAGCAAAGAGAACATTTTTGATAGGAAAAAACCCCCCCCCCCCCCAATTAGCATTAATCATAATGAGAAAAAGGACACTGGCTGCATCTGGTAATTGTTTACAGCTGCATTAACGATCAGTGCAAAAAGATGGAAGGATTAAACTCATTACAGATTTACCAAATCTTTTTAATAGGTTTAAAAGCAAATCGTGTTCCCACTGTTACACAGTGCTAGCACTCTTTACTTGTAGAGTTTCAGCACACTGTTTTCTTTTATCTTTCCACAGAATCACTGAGTAAAATGACCGAAGAAGTGGGGGAAGGCGCTGTGGATACCATGTAGAAGCTATGTATTTTGTTACCTTCCAGCTCATTGCTATCTGAGTGACTACCCTCAGCCTGAACAGAAGTGGTGCTGCTTTAGATCTCACCCGAAGGAAGGCAAAGACAAATCAGACCGAGGCTCACTGATGGAAAGGTTTGCTATTAAGACACTTTCAAATATTTGGAGTGATTTGAAAACCCTTTAGCCCTATTCTTCCGGCCTTTCTTTTGCCCACCTTGGAAGACCCTTTTATAAGCAGAAGAGAAAAGTCTGCTGCCTCCACAGCTCACTCCAGCTTACCTTGAATACATGAAATGCTTCAAACTGAATGTTGGGGCTTTTATCTCGCAGCAAGTTCATCATCAGCTTCAGATTCTCTGGCTTGCTGATGTATTTTGTCATGATGGCAAAGTTGTGCCGGTCCAGAATCAATTCACCCAGCAGCTATAGGGACAATTGCAAAAAGTAAAGTTATCTAACCCACCAGCTTTTTTTTTTTTTTTTCGAATGCAAAGAAAGCAGCAACACATTTCTAGGTTTGTCTAAAGAGGTTTCAATATCACTATCTCAAAACAAAAAAAAAAAGTATATGGGTTTGTTATCAAGTAGTGAGCTAACGCCCAGTAATACTCATCTTCCAAATACTAAAGAGATGGATACCATTTGGATGGGATGCAATAGGAGCTAGTGTGAGCCCGCTAGGGCAGAAGCAAGTGTAGCACGACTGTCCCGCAAACACATCTTCATTTCATTCAGATGTTACATTAACAGCCCTATTTGGTCCCGTCATGTCAGACTCGGTGCTGCGGTGGCAAGCAGCAACAGACAAATAGGGTCTATCACGTCGCTCTCAAGTTCTTTCTAACCTATGATACGGACCAAAGTACAAATTTTAGGTCAGACAAAAAGGGATGGTGCTTGTTCTGCAGAAATGGCTTAGCGCTTCACCAGAGATCCAGGAAATAAAACTCACAGCTAATTCTTTGGAACAAGAGTACTGGCAAGCACGTAGCCCCCTTTTTTGTTACAAAGCACGTGGCTGCTCTGTTACAGGAAATACATTGTCATGTTCGGCATAACACGGATTTCAAATTCAGGAGGAAAACGCTGAGAAATTTTACCTTACCTTCAAAGATTGTCTCTTTGTTACGTAATTCTCAGAATGAAGGAGTTTTTCGTAATCCTCAAAGATCTAGAGTACCAAGAAAACACAAGTGCATCCCACTGAGATCCAGCCAGCCTTCGCCCCGCTCCCTTCTCGCGCTCCTTCCCAGGCCAGGGGTGCAGCAGAGGTAGCAGCGGCAAGGCCCCCCAGCGCTTCAGTGCCTGCCTGAGGGTGCTTCCCCCTCAACTATCCCTCTTTGCTCATGGCTGTGACTACGTACAGGAGCTTTAAATCATCTGGGACACTTGGGGCTTGTGCCCATGCCGCCTTCTTTTGCAACAGGATGAATCTGCTGCCAGAACACAGGGTCCAGCACGTAGGGGCCACTCATTCATACTCAAAACCACCTACCAAACACGCCAAAAACCCCACTGGCACCTAATAACGCTAATTTCCACAATTTATACTTCAATTTTTAAATGTTACATAAATGTAGAACAGGGACTGCTCCACTGCAGTGCTTCAGTGCTAACAGAAAAAAGATTAGCAGAGATGGTAATTTTGCTCCAGTTAAACTGCAGTTATGACTCAGCAGTAATAAGCCTGATTTTTATTTAAACTTTTTGCTAACTCTATAATGAAGAAAAAATTAGCCTTTGCCCTTTTTCCTTTGGCAATGAAGTAAAGCATACCTAAGGTAACATGCGAACATAACCTGAAGTCTAATTCCATTATCCATATTAGTCCCAATCGTAGCTGATTCCAACGGAATTTTTCTCACCCACGTTTCATTTAAAATAGATCTGAAAATCAAAGTGAAAAATGGCAACAAACCAATTGCCTAATTGACTTAGGATGGTAAGGTGGATGTTGACATCTCAGTCTCCTGATCAGGTACACGCCGTTTTCAGCAACGCTATTACTTCTTCTTGTAACGCTTCTCCTCTGTCCCAAAGTATTACAAAATGACACTGCCATGGCCCTATCAGTGCTGGAGCACAAAACTGTTTGAAGAAAGTAAAGACTCTTTTTCCCCATCATCTATCTACATACTAAATTTACCGTTTTCATTCAGGTATGTATGGGGAAATACGTTGCGTAGAGAGAGGCATAAGAATTGTTATAAAACAGTGAGTTCTCCTGAAAATTTGACATATGTGGGGGCAGAAGGGGTGCCTTCATTTTCAAATGCCAAAAGGGGATTCCCCGCTGGTAAAAGCAATGCCTTTCATTTAGGTTTGCAGTCCTATGTGACAATTTTATGTGGAACATGAAATCCTGCACTGCTAAAAGTAGGCTCTTTCTAGCTAAACATGAGCAGATTTAAAGAATTCTATCACTTATACTTACTGTATCATAATTTTGTTCCAGGAAATCTGCTACCAATAATTTGTGTCTTGTTAGCAAGTCCTGAAAAAGAACAGAGAAAGATTACCTATTCATTTGGTTGTCCCTTTTATTCCCAAATTTAAAAAAAAAAATACTTTCACAAGCTATTTCCAACATTATTTCAATAGAGAAAAAGAGTTTAAAAATACTACTGTGTCAAGTTCAGCTGCTGTATGCTTTTTAGGACTTCAGGAAGAATTAAATGAATGCTACCGGAATCAGTACAAAACTCTTGCAAGGCTCCTTCTTCATATTCTGCTTTCCTCACACCCTTTCCTATGGTCAGCGTGCACAGCACTTATGATAAATTGGAGTGGGAGAGAGGAGGAAAACAAAACAACCCTTAACGGAGGGATCAAACGTGGTCCCAGAGCCAAAAGGGATCTGCACCCTACCCCACAACTGGAAGATTATGGTAAATTTAGCCAATTGCTATTTCTGATCTCCAACGAACGCAACAAGGCAGTCTCACACTCAACGACTGGCGATACCACACCGATCTGTTTAAAAGCCTCAAAGTTAGGGACCACATCTAAGCCAGCCATTCAGGGTCCCAACACAGTCATCCCAGCCCTAGAAAGGTGTCTCAGATAGGTGGGATGAATTCCCCCTGCGGCTGTATTTCTGCCCCTCGGTGGGCTTACTGCAACAAGTAGCAGACCTCTCTGACAGCTGAAGCTGCATGGGACGCATCCCATCTGAAAAGGTGGCCACCTAATTCAAAGCTAAATCAAAGCAAGCTCCCCCGTACAATGGTAATGCTGGTGCTCAGTGGACGGAGATGCAAACGTTCAGCTCCAGGAGAAGTCAAGTCTCTTTACTAGATGAATAGCTATAAGTTGAAGTGGCCAGTTTGAGGCACTTAAGTTTAATTTTCACCTCATTGCTTCTTTTACTACATAACACTGATCACAATAAATGACTGATGAAGACCATTCAAGCTGATATTTTTTCAGTGAATCACTTTCTATTACTTTTTCACCACCTCTTCCTTGGCTTTCTTATCCACCATCAGAAACTGAAGCAGATGAGTTGTTGTAGCAGATGTGTCTGTGCATCTGCTTCAAATCCTTTACATACTAGTCCTTTAATTTATTTTTACCATAAATTATAAGAGGAAAGCAGAGTGCTATAAAATCCAGTATATTATATTTTTTAATATATTCCTTTATCTAGTAGGGCTGCAATGATCTCAGTTTAAATGGCTGAGTGCATCCAAATGTGCTTCACACACTTTTATGCAGGGCACTTACGAGGCAAGTACAACATTTCTCAATAGGGGGCACAAATGGAATACAATCCAAAATGAGTTTTTCATAGAAAATCACAAGAGAGCGTGGAGGGGCAGTATTCAATCAGCACTCTTCCCAGCTGCTACTGGTACCCTCCCCAGCTGAGCACATCTCTACATGCAAGCCCATTCTCCTCTGCATTTTCAGCCGCTCAGTTTCCCCTCTGCTGGGCGCCTGGCTGAATTTAATTAAAAAGCACGTCTCAAGATCATCAAAAATTCCAATGCTTTCCTACTGTAAATATCCTCAGACTTTAATGTACTTTTAATTAAACTCTCCTCTGGTGCATAGACTATCCGAGGCTTTCTGCTCCGAACCAGACACCCAGGTGGCAACGTCGTAAACCCAACATGGGGGAAACAGAACTGACAACATGAGTTCAGTAATCTAGGCAGTGAGCAATCAGAGCGCTTATTTTTATGGTATTAGAAATCAAGGTAGCTCTGTATTTCATGATTCAATTGCTTCCCCATCGCTTCTTGCCGTTCCAGGCATTTGGAGTAACAGCCAAATAAATGAGATGAGATGAGACTAACTGCCGGTTTGTTTCCAGAGCTAGCTAAATATCAGAGGCTAAGAGGCAATTTTTAAAAATGCAGTTTATGGATTTGCCCCACACTTTTGCTTTCTGACCTATGCGTGAGGACGAACTGCACTCGTAACTCCTCTTATGCCAATACACGTGCAGATGTAGAATGCTGTGTTTAAACCCCGCTAAAAATGCATTTGGAGCTCAGGAGACAGAAGCAAGTTTCACAGCTGTAGGTCCACGAACGACATCCATCCCCGTTTTCTCTGGAGGGCCGCAGCAGTCTGTAGTCCCTGTCATGGCTTAACTGTCCCTTGCCTGCGTCCTGTTGCCCCCCCACCAACCCAAGTTGGGAGGAGGGACTCAACCACGCATCCTGCTATCCTGCTTCGCCCAAGCGAGACCTGGGCCAAAGATGCAAATCCCTTCTATCTCACGGCTAACAGAATCCAAAAAAATTTATTTCTGACCAGAGCTAAACACACTTCTGAGCACAGGGCAAAATGCCAGAGACATTGAATTTAAATGCATTCTTATATCGACCCACACATGTATTTTTAATTGGACTAGTGTGTATTTCTGTGTGACTTCCACTTTCATAATGTTCACCTTAAACATTATGAAACTTAAAATAAGTGAAAGAGCAACTTAAAATAAGTGAAAGACACTGCTGATGATTAATAGGCTGGTTTGAATTGCTAATCCTGTCCAACTCAGTATTTAAGAACACAAAATTATTTCCATTATCAAATCTTTACCTCATTCAATAGGTCAGCAAAAACTGAGGCCAGGTTTCCGTATGTGCTGAATTGCTGAGCTGAACTCTCTAACATTTTAGTTATTCCTAAGGCCTATCTAATGATGTTTCTAATTAGCTTTGAGAGGAAAGAATGAACAACCTGTTTCTATGACAGCAAAGAACCAACTGATAGAAGAAAAAAAAGTTATGTCTATATTTAGAAGACTGTCTCCCTGTAAAGAATTTTCCTCAGTTTTCTGCAATTATTTTTGCAGAAATAACCTACTTGTTCCTGTGTTAAGCCTACGGGTACCAACTTTTGCTAAAGACTACATTAGCACCTTGCTGGAAAGATGATGGTCACATACAAAATCCAAGAAATTCAGCAGGTTTCACCCAACTTCATTTTTAATATGAAATACAGGGTCTATAAAGTGTGTGGGCCAGACAGATCCCATTGTTGAATCCTGCAGCCCGAGGTGAACCCTACATACTGCTTTTGAACCCCTTCTGCTGCTTTGAAGCAACCTCCACAGTAGCACCAATAGCCAGAGACCGAAGGGGAAGGAAACGCAGGAGCTGCCAGCTGGCCCCTTCCAGCTCCCCCTCACACTCCGACGAATACGGGGCTCACTTGCAAGTAAAGAGGTGGCAGTGTCTGAATTGCCACTGGAAGGGTTTCACGGTAATGTCAAGGCCTTCAAGTGTGACCGATGTGGTGCTTTTACCTACTGAGCTCTTAGCGGTCTGGTCCTTACGCTGAATCACGAGTCACAAAAGTAAGCACACAGATGAGTTTCAGTACAATCAGCAGGCATGGCATTAGTCTAAACTTGACTGCCAGACTCAGAAGGGTCAGCAAAAATTAGAGGATTTTAAAGGTTCCTTCTGTTTCCTGGTTGTTGTCACAACAGGTAGTGGTTTTATTTTGGGGGGAAGCTGGAGAGAAGAGAGGTTATGCATTTTACAAGAACTGTACATAATGCATGATTAATCTGAGTTTTAAATGGTTGCCTAAAAGGACTTGGGATATCAAGATGCAGAACACTCGTGAAATGTAAATCTGGTTTAAAGAATCTTTGCAGACTTGATCACTGTTGTGAATCCTGTTACAAACAGACCAAGAATTAATTATTATTATTGCTTCTGAGCAATAAGAAAGCTGTCCAGTGTAAAGGCAATACAACACTCAATTGATGGAATGTCATTTTAAACAGAACGCTGACACAGGTATCAAATAATTTACCTTGAAGGTAGCAAAGGCATCAGAAGCTATATCAAACGTTGACATTTCCACATATTTGAAAAAGTCTCTGAACTGCTCTGAGAAAAGTATGATTTTGGCCAGCGGTTCATGTCGGATACACTCTCTTAGCATAATTCCACAGCGTAAGGCAATATGCGAGGTTTCATATCTGCAGGACAAAAAGAAACAAAACCACTAAAACACAGAGAGACAAACATGAACGGGCAATTTTCTAGCGAAAGGAAATTTTGTAGGATAGGAAATGTGCGTGCTGGAGCAAACACCACCACATGTTGCACACATGGTGGCTCTCAACCAGAGCGCTGCATCCAACCTTCAGCTTATAACTGAGAAAGAGACACGCAGATAAGGCTGCCTGCATTTTCCATTCCAAACCTCTGTCTTCATAAGCCAAAACACATTTCAGTGTAAACGTGCATTGCATCTCCCCTCTGTGAAAAGATCGTTTAGGGGAGTGTATAAAGTTTCAATAGACTTGCTTCACCCTTTTGGATTTATGAGAAAGCTAAGCCCATGCAATATAACATTCTCCCATTTCAAAATTAATTCTGAGCTCCTCAGCTTATCCAAGAAAAATGTTTCATCTCATGACCATCCCTCAACTCCCACTCTTCTTCTAGAGAATGTCACTCTAGAATATTAATATCAAACAAGGAAGGTAGGAAGAGTTGATCCAGGCCCTCTGCCCATGACTAAGCTTTCTGTAGTTCTGAAGAGCTTTTCTGCAATTTAGGAGGAGATCTGCTCAATTCCTCCTCTGCAGAGACTAAGGACTTGTCCAACAGACAGGTATTAGTTCCTCAAGTTACAACCTTGTTATGGCACAGGCTCTGCAACGGATAGGAGCCAGCACACTTCTAGATCTCAGAAAGGATGGGGAAGGCATTCAGATAGTCTTCTATTTCTATGAAGTCTTGATTTCTTTAAAGTCAAAATTAATCCAAAACAAAACTGTTAGAAAAACAATTTTAAAAAGCCCCCCAAACAAGAGAGAAATCTAACAGTCAGGAAGGAAGGACTTAAAAGGAACATATTTTAACAATATTCAGTCATGTGAAAGCAATCAAGTCCAAGGGGACAGAAAGCACACTCTGTTTCAATAAGCTGGCTCTACTATATCAGAACTGCGTATTATCACCCAGAGCTTATCAGCATCATTTTTCTTCTAGACAATTCATTTCTATCACTAGGCCAAAAAGAAAAAAAAAGAAAAGACAAAATGCCATCTATGCTGTAGGTGAGTGGGCCCTCAAATTTACCACCAACTTGCAATTTAAAAGAACAGTAGTGTTTTGAGAGCATACCAGAGCTGCATACTTCAACCTGATGCCAACAATAGTTGGCTTAATGGAAAATGAACAACTGATTCCAAAAAGGCAAATCAAGCTTCCCACCCTTAAGCACGTGCATGCAGTCCAGCCCCTATTTGTGTCATTTTGGGGAACATTTGCAAACTTGAACTTAACACTCTTTAGATAATAGATATTTGTTGATGTTTTCTGTTAAGATATACCTCTCGTTTACTCCATTAATTGGAATAGTAATTTTCAAGTAAAAAGAGGGAGAGTTGCTCCTAGGAGTGCAGCCAGGAAAATATTTAACAGTTGGCCAAGGAATATTTTGGTTGGAATACAAGCAAACTACATTGTTTCCAGCACAATAACTTTTAAAAACACAAGTATCAACAGAATCATTCTTAGTCAAATGCTCCATTGCCTAGAACTGGGTTACGGACCTGTGACTATTCACACACGCGAGGGAAGTTGGGCTTGGCTCCTGCAACAGGCCTGAAAGAAGCTTACAGGCTGCCTGCTCATAACTAGCATGTTCTCTGTACCCACACTTCCATGCAAAGCCACCAGGCAAGCAGGAACAGTAGAGCTGGGTTTCAAAATCATTTCTAATGAGCCGTTATTACTCTACGCTGACGTACTCCTGCAGCAGAAACAAAAAATTGTGTCCTTCTCCGTTCTGATGGACTTACAACCTAAAGAACTCCCCAGACGTTGACTACTGGGCAACCAGAAAAAGGCAATGACGGATTTGAAATATTTCAAAACATTTATTGTGGAGGCTGAAAGAGGCAAGACAGCCCGAGAGCAGAAACACGCGTTGGTGCAATGGGAATTCATCCCGTGTGGCTAGCGCAGAAGATGGCACAAGGTAAGGAGCACAGGAAGGAGACTAGGAAGGCACCAAGCCTGGAAGAGAGGAGCTCTTGACAAACAGCTATATTCCTATTTGATTTTACACTAACTTCTATAGCTTGTTTTCAAAGCTATCCTTGGATAAACCCAAGGGAAATTTTGCAACTTCAGCCAATATACCGTTAAGATTTACTGTGCTGTAACGTGAACAGATCATCACAAAACAGACCAGAGGCTGTGGCTGTGTACATTAGAGACAGGACATGCCAGGATATATATTCACACAGGATCTTACCTAGTCACATAAGATCCTACACATTTATAACTTGAGAGAAACACTGCTCACAGTGCCACAGACTCCAAAATCCACTATAGTCACTGTACTAGAAAGGAAGAAAATATTTTAAATTTTAAAGGACCCAAATTATTTCTAGGCTAATGTCTCTGAATGCAATAGATTGATACCAGAGAAAAATTTGGGCCAAATATATCAGAAACTGTATACACCAGTATTGTGTTCATCTGAAATCCTACTTGCACACAAAGCCTGCAGACACAGAAAATAAGAAGCTATGAAAGCAAGTCCCCACTCAGCAGGAAAGTCAATTATCTTACCAAAAAAAATGTAAGCAAGCAATGAATCATGTGCTACATATTTTTTTGAAGCTGAAAATCTGGGAGGGAGTTGCCGAGAAGTAAAACAAAGCCTAAAAGGTAAGAACAATTATCGCAAACTGGCAGTGCCACTGGAGTATTTGGCGGGAAATATGGGGAGGGAGATCTGATTCAGGATCCTTCCCACTCAACAGAGCTCACATTATGCAGTGAAAAAGCAACCTTTTGTTGATACTGTTGGGAACTGACCGTCAGGAGGCAGAGGAAATTTTGCATCCAATACAAGTCAAACAATGACAAGCCTTCACAACAGTCCCAGGCTCTTTCTTTTACAGTCATGGCTAAAACGCTGGGTTTTTTTTTTTCCCCTCCTCTCCAAATACCGTCATATAAAAATCACTGAATGGTAACTCCAGTCTCTCACAAGTGAGCCAAATTCATTTTCCTTCCCTTTATGCACATTTTGATTTCAGATGTTTCATTTCACATTAAATAGGCCTGAAAACATGTCTTCAAGTCATGTTTTCAAGCAGTGATGTCTAACATTAAGTATGTGTGTCCCAGGCGCATAGCTCATTGCACACAAGCACTACACACGGCCTGCACAAAGCAAGCTGCATGTTTGGGGCCCTACCCCGGCTTTTGGCACGTATTTTAAGTATTGTTTTTAGACATTCCTGGCAGTGGACGTACGTAGGTAAGACAGTGTTGTGTTTGGCTTCATTACACTATTTGGGTCCCCTCAGTGCTTGGTAAAACTGTTCTGGGCTATTGCTGAAGAATTCGGTAGCACTTGCTAATGAGGAACTCAAGAAATGACAATGAGGACAGAGCGTGCCCATACAGTGCAGAGAGTCAAGATGTCAAGAACAAGGAGTCAGAAGCCCAAACTAACGCAGCTACACTGAAGGTCTAAGGCAGGATACATCAGCTGTCTCCACAAAGTACGTAACTGGGGCCGTTTAAATATACTCCCTGATAGTTGGCTCGGGTCACCATACAGTGAGATGTTGTGTCCATCAGCAGCACATATGCAGAACACACAATCTTTACTATCATCTTAATATTATTTGTTTTTACAGATGCCAAAGAATATCTGGGACATGGTCCAAAAATACTTTTTAGCTTTAAATAAAGCTGAGACATATGGAAGAGATACATATGCAATGTGCCAAACAAAAATGAGTGGAAAAAACATGGGGGGTGGGGGGGGAATCCAAAAAGTAAAGACAGAGAAGAGGGAAGAAAATGATTATATCTACACACGGAATTGAAAACAGTTGTACAACTTGCTTCAGCCGTGACTGAGAGAATTATCATCACTGCCCTGAAACAAGTATTTTGAAGTTTATATAAATGTTGAATTTAAATGAACAAACGCAAAAAAAAAAAAAACATTTAACGAGCGTACTGGCTTTCCTTCTGAGGAAGCTGGTGTCCAGTAACACAAAAAAAGTCAGTTTCAAAACTAAAGATAAATCACCACTCATCACAATACTTTTAAAAGCAAGACCTAGTTAAGAACAACGAGCTGCCCAGGTTCCTCACAACTCTGCCTGTGTGAAAGGCAGACCCAAACCTCTTACTGTCACAGCAACGTTTTGCCTCCGTGTATGATGACAAGCTCATAATTCTTTCAATTATTGATATAAATCAGTTCTCTCAACTACTTTTTCCTACTCAGCTGTGCTGGAATGTTGCCCACTTTGAAGCAAATAACTATTTCAGGAGGAAAGGAAACATGCTCTAGAAGTGCCTATTTCTGACTCTAAAAGGAGGCCAGGGCATCTCGGTCAGGTCTGCATTTGGGAGATGTGGAAGCTGGTTGAAAGGAATTTTACCCTTGGGGTTGCCTTCCTATCGTGCAAATATCTCAGATGGTGTTTAAGTATTTTCCCCATTCAGGTTGTGGAGCAAATGGTAAAAATGCAACTCTTCAGCCTCAAGAACAAAAAAGACATTTTAAAAGTTCATTTCCTTAAAAACTGTTATTTTAAAAGGCTTATGGCATGATTTTGAATGGCTGTTACTAGTCTAACCATACATGAATTCCATGTTGTTTCATACTGTTCAGCTAATACACACACTCTTATTTTTAAATCATGTCTTTAATCCTAAGCAATCACATATATTCTCCTTTTCTTGGAGAAAAATAAATAAAATCATAAAGCCAGAAAAGAAGACCACAGAAAACTGAAAGGCTGATCAGAAAACAGAAGATTTCAAGAGCTGGAAAAGCAAAGATTCTTGCTAAGGGGAAGGCACTTTGTGGCCAAGCAGAGAGGACAGAAACCTCAAGAATTTTAGGCCAATGCTTGCACATTCCTGAATGCTGTTGCAGCTGATGTCCTCACCCCGCTGCAGCGCACTCCCCCTCTTTGGCCAACTTACCTTGGGAACCATTGGCTTACAGCTAAACAATTACTCCCTCAGAGGTTAAAAGGAAAAAAAAAGATTTAACGCTGAAAGAAACGAAGTTCATTGCTGGCATAATTTAAAGTTGAAACTCACATGTGGCTACAAGCATTTAAGAAGTCTGCCCCACAGGCACAACTACTCTTTTTGTGCATTTTTGCTTCTCTGTGTTCTACCGCGCGGTGGTCCAAGCACTGGACTCCAGTTATTTACAGACACCGCTATAACTCACTGTCGCAATGCAAAGAGGTCGAAAGGACAGTCAGCAGTAGCCAACAGTGCTACAGAAGAGTTTAAGGCAAGCATTGAAGTCCTTGTCCCCTGGTGAGCAGGCAAAAACAAATCAGCACATAGTTATTCCAACGTGAAGTCCGGTGAAGAAATAACGGTCAAATAAAATAATTCAATCATTTAAGGGTATACATTTAAGTAAAAAGTAAGTCAGTAGAAAAGAAACAAAATAAGAAATCTGGAACAAAGGCTGAAATCCCTTCTATTTTTTTTAAACTGAAAGTGAAAAAGGAGACCAATTGCAATGCCAACACGTTCCAGGCAAAGTTGTTTAATGGGAATCAAAGTCAAATGAAAGCACCCACCCTTTTAGAAGCATGAATAGGATATGTGGATGGGCACTAATGTATTCCACAGTAGGGCTGCGTGTGCCAATTTGTCTTCTCAAGATGTTGTTAAATATCTGGGAAACGTCCTTTTTGCCCTGGTAAAGAAGCAAAACATATTTTCAACTGTGAAAACATGAACAAACGACCATTTAGTATAATCTCTACTTAAAGAGGAAATGAAATTTAACACAGTCCCACCGCCTGACACTTGCCGTCTCTTCAAATGACACAAGAAGGCTTCCTCCATCAGGTCGCTCTGAAGACGACTAATCCCCCTTCACCCATGTCCATGTTTATTTTGCCAAATGAAGATGTGCATCCTCCTTAATGCTGTTGAGCAACTCCCTGGATATCTTTAATAAGCAACGAGAAAATACTAAAACACGTAAGCAGCTGCCCTGTGCCAAATATGCTTTTGCAGGGTGTACTGTGCTCCTATAGCTTCCAAATGTCAGCAGTCAAGCCAGTACCAAGTACAACAATGCGTAGCCTAGCTTTGCAAAGCTAAGCTTTTCATTATTCTCACGTAATCCAGGCGAATCTGATCTTATTTTTGAAAATCGCGGTTAAATTTAAAACTGAGCCCAGCCCCTGATACACAGATTGATTCTATGGATATCATATACGTATCATTTTATCACAAAGAATAAAATAAATATTACTGATAGAACGGCTGTGTCATATGTATATATGTCTCTACTTTAGGCACGACTAAGATGGAAAGGCTCTTTAACCTGTCCTAATTTTCTCCTCTACCTAGACCCACATACACTTGCAAAATCATATTTTGCAGTAGAATACTTCCCCACGCAGAAACTTTTCAGAAGGTCCTTCCAAATTATGCTCTATTCAGCTACAGCGTTTGCCAATACCTCATGCATTGTAAGTCCTCTTCCTCCCTCACTGCTTTTTTCCCCCGGCCACAGGAGAGAGACTGACGTGAGAAATTACTGGAGGGGAGAGACTGCTGCACTAATGACCAGTAACCAAGGCGCTGAGTAAACAGCGGGTCACTATGCACAGGGCAACCTAAAGCAAAAGGTTAGTTATAATCCGTCCATGCTCATTGATCTGCCTTGAGAGGACAAACATTCCTTGGCTAAGAAATTACCGAACCTTTTAAGCCAAGGAGCAGATAGTTTCACACAGAGGGAAATTCCCTAGTTTCACCTCTACAAATAAATCACTGTTGAGACGCACAAAATATTCCACTGTCCTAGTCGTTCCAGCCCAGCTGGCCCGGAGGCTCAGGGACTAAGGGAATTAAATAAGACAACCAAATCAGACCAGGCCAGTCCACCTGCCTTTGCCTGCAATATTTTTGACCCTTGGACATTGTCTTAATTAAGCTAGTTCTTTACAAAAAACGCCCCTTCTGCCCCATCTTTACAACACCCGTAACGTATGCCTGGAATCCCGGGATCCCCAGCGGTCGCAGCAGTTTCTCCAAAATGAAAACAACCCAAAAAGGGAAGAGCTGTTGAAAGGGAGAGACAAAAATGGCCAAGAATTACATGCTCTTCTCTGCTAAGCCAAAATTTATATTAGCCACTTAATATTAGGTGCACTAGTGCACTATGGCATTATATTCAATAGCAGCACAGTTTCTAGAGACCAATGATCAGAGGACAAGCGTGAAAATCAAAGTTGGTCTCTCTGGGTTCTTCTCTAGCGAATGGATGCAGATAGGAGGGAACCAGGGCAGACTTCCCCCGCCGTCAGACACCTATAAAAACCGCTGGAACACTTTTGCAATGCCTCTCACTTGGAATTTGCCATTCAAATTCACCTTATAATGAAATACATATGACAACTGAAGCACAAGACAGAAAGGCAGCTTGGAGAGAAAGTACAATGGCTAGACTTGAACAAGAAAAACTCACATGATGCCGTCATGGGAATAACAACTTGCAAGATATCTATCTATACCACAACACAGCCCACATTTAAAGGCAAAGTAAGGGAAAATTTTTAACATCACTAATCTTAGGCTTGTGGCTATCTACTGTCTTTTTTATTGGCTTCACAGCTTATGAACCTTTAGGTTTACATGCTATTAGTAACACTTTTTCTTCTTTTAACTATTTCTGTATGCATGCTTTTCTCAATTAATTCTTCAAAGTTCACCAATAAATTTCACCTTTTGAATTTCCCAAAATTCAGTCTGATCCAGATTCTGGGCTTCTGCTCAAACTCAACTTTAGTTTTTTTGCAACAGTGTCAGCCACAAAATATTACACTGTTTCCTGAGTGAGAGAAATAATAAGCCTCTGTTTTCTATAGATGTGCGATAGAGAGATGCAAGGACGTGACAGTCTCCTCTACACGCACGCACATTCCCCAGCCACATGTGCTACAAATATACTGCCAGACGAAACACAAGTGAGACAGGTCTCGAGCTCGTGCTTCTCCTCTTTTCTCAGTGGTGGTGGTAATTTTGGTTTTTTTCCTCCAAGCAGGCACCAAATTTCATGAAGTCTTTGAAAACACATCTTCAAAGATGAGTACTACTATGCAAAATTGGGATCAAAGTGCCCACCAGGTGCAGCAACTTTTTGGAGGGTGAAGGGTAGCGTGGAGGAGAAAAGGAGCCAGGCCAGCACAAAATGAACTACTTACATAAACATAATTTCCTTCAGAAATCAGATTTTCAAGTAATTTCAGTTTTTGATTTCTGTCATTACATACTAATCACAAAAACAGTTTGCACATTGAAAGGTGATGAAACTGCTTGGTCAACAAGGACATCTAAATGACAATTATAAACAATACATTAATATAATAAAATGCAACCAGAAAACTTGATAAACTGAAAAAATACGGAAATATGAAGACAGAACAACATATGCTCTTACTAGCCTCTTTTTCAATGACATTTCACTTTACTGTTCTGCTAAAAAGAATCTGTGTAAAAGTTAAAAGTTTTGCTAAATGATTGAAAGGCTTTATCATGGAAAAAACTATTTTGCAATAAAAGTTATTAGAACTATGTTTATATGAACCATGTTATTAGAACTATGTTTACATTATGTTATTAGAACTATAATATGTGAATAGCAGTAATTCAGCAACACTCCTGCTATTTCACTCAGTTTGCATTTGAAGACTGCAGGTTCAAGGTATAGGTACAGAATTTTATGTCTGAAAAAAGCAATACAGACAGTCAGGCAACCGAAAAAAAATGCAGAATTTTCCCTTCTATGAAACATTTGGTAACAAAGTCTTCGCTTCCCCCCTTTTCTTTTTTCTCTATTTCAAACAAATTTAAATTACTGAATTCTTATTCTGCATCAAAATTACGACATTTAACAATCGCATGGGGAAGCAGGGAGATGACAAATTAAAGGCTCTGAAGAAATTCTAGCATTAAAAAAAAAAAAAACTGCTGCATTCAAGACCTGAGGAAGAGTGGGGAAACTCCACTAACAGTACTTCCAAAAATTAATTTTAAAAATTTATTAGTCTCTTTAAATGCTGGTTTCACACAGGGTGCGGCCCAAAACCAAACAAACCCACCCATCATTCTTTCCTTTGATTCATTTTCAAAATGGAAAGAGAAACGGAGCAACAACAAATGACTTTCGTACGGGGAGAAATCCTTCCACAAGGAAGCAGCTCCCCCAAAAAGTGGCTCCGACAGCATCAGCCCACCTCTCCGAGGAGCTGATTTGTAAATGCTGCGGCCGCCCTGCCCTGCACGCCAGGTACTGCCCCCGCTGCAGACCGGGGCTGAGGAGGCCCTTGGCCGGCCAGCCGGGAATTTCTGACTGCTCAGAGACGCTCAGAGACTTTTGATGATGATTCACCAGAGCCCGGGAACCAGAGAAATTGCAAAGCTCCTAACAGCGGGCCCTGGGGGCAGCAGCCCGGCTGACCTCAGACCATAGGAACACCATAGCGCCCTGCCAGTGACAAAGTTTCTTCCCAGCTCCTGCCAGTTAAAGGGTTTATATTTCTCTTAAATGACTGTAATCATTTCTTCTGTAACTTCTCTTCTCCATATTCATAGGCAAGTCCAGTTATTTTAATTCTGCTAAGTTCTTGGCTTTAGCAACAAAATTGTCACCGAGTTCCACAGCTTAATTATATATGTGTTTATTCATAGTATTTTTTCCCAGATTGGCAAAAAAAATAGTTATATTCCTTTCTTCCTTTACACAAAGAATTAAATGGGGGCAATCCAATTCACTTTGTCATTTTCGGCCAGTTTTTAAACACCTTTTTCAATTCCTTTCCTCTCAACTAAACCATTCCAATTTTTTCATTCTTTTTTCACATGAGATTTTCCTATGCTTCTTCATATTTTCATTCCAAGTCTCTGAACCCCTTCTAGATCAGCCATAGTCTTTCCGAGAGGGTGGCTGGTTCCAGCTGCACTGTCCCAGGGTAAGAGGTTAATCACTGCAGCACACGAAGCCAGAAACAATATTCGCAGCACCTTGTCTCGGTACACGTGCCAATATTTCTTTCTTGTGTTTGTTTAAAAATAAATCAAGAAAGTTAAGTAGGATGCAGTATAGGAACACATCTGTCAGTATACTGATCAATCTGCAACAGCTACTTTCTTCAGCATGGGCAAAACAGCGCAACTATGTTTTTGAAGGCAATAAAATTGTTTAATTTAGGCTTCAGAAAAATACAGCTATATGTCCTGGCAACATTGGGACCACGGAGAAGAAAGGTTTATGCATGTTGACCTACCTCAAAATCTATCAGCTGCAAGTTGGCAATAAGAGTCACTAGAAGGCCACTGTTGTACAATTCTTGCGCCAGCTGAGCCACTATTTCTGTGGGTGGCTCCTTGTCTGTGGTACCGCACAGAATTTCCTTCATTGCTTGCAGGGATTTTGACACTTCTTCTGATGCCTGTGGATCAACAGATAACTTTGGTTTTTGGCTTTTTTTTCGTTTTTTTCTAAACAGGTTTTATTTACTTAAAAAAAAAAAAAAGCAGTTCAAAACAAAAGCTTCTGACTGTACCTAGGATGACTGCCTCTATTATTAAACAGTTTACTATTTTTAGGTAGTCGCTGAGGCTGGACCATTCGCACTGGATCCCGCAGGTCCTACACAAATGCACGGATGTATTCCACTTAAACACGGCATGCCCTCAGTTACAGACCACAGGATAAAGTTAGAAGGGCATTTACCAACCTGTGCTAGCAGGATCCTCTACTCTTTGGGAGACACGCACCAAACGGGGATACTGAGCAGGCAGACTCCGGCTGCCAGGATCTCCTCATCCACGACAGCTTGCTGCTGAACTATCTTGGCTTCTTTACAGATAGCCCAAATAAATCCTGCTAACCTGGTCACTTGGCATTGCCACTACCTGCTCTGCCTTGTGCCCTATGCTCCGCACCAGCATCTTCAGGGGGGACTTTCTCTACCGAGTTCCCACGCACTGAAGTTTCAGGCTGGGAAATTATTAAACAACCTCACTTGCTTTCAGTAAAGCTCAACAGCTGCCACCAAACCAGCAAAAATAAATCTTTCATCTTCTACTCCCACCTAATTTATTTTAATTCAATGCAATGTTTTAGGTGCCTAACCTAGAATACAAATCAGGAATTGCCTTATGAAAGCCTACAACAGAAAAATAAAAGAGAAATGTGTATAAACAGGTAGTAGCTTGGTGTTTGTGGCAGTCAGCAGACTTACATTACATTTGAATTACCATGTCCCACTTTCAAAGGGAAACAACCACTGGCTACAGTGCAGGAGCTCTGTCTCACTCTCTCCTCCTAGGTTTGCTCCATTTTATATTAAAAAAAGACTCCTTGGAGCAAAGGCTTAAATATTTTTTGTTTGTTTGTTTGTCTGAAATCCTGGGTGCTCTAACCGTTGGGCTATGAAGGGACCCTCTCTCTGGGTCAGGGTATATTACGCGCATGCATGGCTAGGGCAGCTAGTGCACATATAGGGTTGGCTGGGTTTTTTGCTGGGAAGCAAGTAAGGCAGAGTTTTGAAAGCAAAGCTGAGAACGACAGGAGATTCCTAGGCAAGGTGACGAAACTTTCCGAAGGAAGGACAGCATTTCACATCTATATTGCAAAATGCTTACTTGAAATGAGTGTTTGGCTAGCTAAGCAGAAAAGAAAAAAAGCGCACGCCAGAAAGACACACACACAGAAACCTCAAGAGTCTTTTGTAAAAAGCTAACTGGACATTAGTGGATGTCCAAACCTAGACCGATAATTTCAGTACCTCTCTCATAAACTGAAAGGAAAAACGTCAAGCTTTCAAGTATCATCATCTCAATCTGCAAAAAATAACCCCACAGTGTTCAGGAGAGAAATCTCTGGACTGGTGTTGATCTCTCAACATTTTTATACTGATCTAACTCCTGGATTTTATCCATATTAATGTAAACCTAGAAGAAAAGCCACCTTCTCATTACACCTACCTGGGTGTTTCAAGCATTCATTTTGCACAGTAAAAAGGTATGCTTTCCCCCAATCTGCTTGTACCTGTTTGCAGTTTTAGACAGGTTTAGATAGGCCAACATGAGCGGCATGCAAATGAATATGACTATCTGATAACTTTAACCACAGTAGAAGTCTTTTTGTTCCTTAACGTAGCTCAATAAAAGAGCCTATTTTTAACCTCAAATGTTAGTGGTATGTCACAAGAGCTATCCCACAGAGTACAGATGGGATTAACAACAGGGGTGCCATCTTGTGAACTAAACCTCTAAATCTTTATAGGAGCTGCACAAATATTTTCATATCCAAGGAAAAACCCATACATTTTTGGCTTTTCACTCATTCTGCTTGGTAGGGTGTGAAAATCTCTGGCATTCTGTGGTTAAAAAAAAAAAAAAACTTGATACCTTTATTTTCCTTTTAAATATAAGCAGTCCTTTCTGATTCATAGAAGACGTCTGCAAAACTCAGGTTCAGCTCTGGAAAAGGAGGCCAAAGAGTATACTGCTGCAGGAGAAAAAGCAATTACAGAACACTGCAGTGTTGATGGGGGTAACGGGGCGCCACAACTACAATCAATCTGCCATCTCATCCTCCCATCTTCTTTGCCTCTTGCACATGCAATTTAAATTTCGTGTTTAACTTCCTCCCCTTTTATGTTCTCTAGGATATTCCGTAATCTGTCATTCAACCCTCCACCAAAAGCGACTCCTGGACTCTAAGGGCTGCTCTTCTATCCCTATCCTGCATAATCTATCTGTAG